GTGGGCCATGAAGGCATGTTGAAATTGCCAAGCCAGGGTAAATAAATACAAGAAATCAAGACATTCAATTACTCTGAAAACCTTGCTCCTCTAAGAGGAATCTTTTACTTAATATTTGGGTACAAAAAATCATAATTACAGCAATTACAATAATTTTCACTTTGCTACAATGATGACTTGGGCAAGCCATTCCAGACGCCTCTTGAGTCATTATGATTCCTGTCAAATTATAATCGGCCTTGAAAAGTTCAATTAGTGGCAGTAATAAAGAAATGTTTGGCTATTCAGAAATATTCTGTATTCAAACCATTCGAGGCCAATTCAATCCCTTTTTACTGTATCAGCTTTCTGCAGAAGGTCTGAGGAATGAATTCTGATGAAGTCACACAAAGCTGTGGGCCCATGAACTCAGCACTCACACAATGCTCAGGCTGCTGAGTGGCAGATCTTCTCCTGAGTTTCAATGAGCCATTCAGTGGAAGAGAGACCTTCACACTATTCTTAGTGCAAGCACAGTGTGTTGCCTGCCCAGACTGGCAGAAGCAAGGTGCCAGGAGCCAGGGCTTGAAGCAGCTCAACATGATTAATTTCCTGTTTGTGTCGATCAGGTTCTGTCACAGGTGGAAGTGTGGAGGCAGTTCACATGTACTGTAAACCCATGGTGAAGTAAAAGCTCTGTTTAGTGTATTCATCATGGAGAGCTGTGTGTAAACATCACTGTTCCCTTGACAATCCTGAGCCTTGCCTGTCCTGCATACCATGTTGTGTTATTTAAAAAAAATGATTTTGCATTACTTTTGACAAATCAGAGCAAGTGATTCTGAAAAAAAAAAAAAAAATTTGTGGAGCCTGTGATCTTCTCCTGCCCTGTACCTATTTTTTTTTACTTTTATTATTCTGTTCTTGTTGCTAATCTGATACTGGATACCATATTTGTGTCACAATCGCTTGATAGTATTGCTGCTACATAAACCTCCCTACTACCGCACGTATATTGTCCTTGTATGATTTTCAACTTTCGCAATTGTTTTTTAATTGTGGTCCTCATAAGTCGCCCTGGACAAAGGCAGAAGCAGAATAAATTATTTAGAACAATAATGAGTAATAAAGTTTGACATTATACAATTTCCATGTGCTATGCATTATCCTGAACATGCTTTTGAAAACAGCAACAACACAAAGATCGTCAGAAGTGTCTACTGGAATTTCAGCAGTTTCAATCAGACCCTCGTTAACAGACTGTACGAATTTTGTGATGACATAACACCTACCCCTGGTGTTCTTGATTTCTGGTTTGTCTTCAGACCCCATCTGTGTCGCTTTTGTAATGACTGAAGCAATCAAAAACTCTCAAGGCAGAGCTGTCAGGTGGTGAGGGCTTGAAATTCTCTGATTGCTGAAGTAGGAGGGTAGCACTTCCCTCATATCCTGCGGGGGTGTGAGGCTTAAACAAAAATGAGCTGAGATCCATTCATGACTTTAGAGCATTGTTAAACAGACAGGCAGCACTGCTCGTTGGGGAATACTAAACAGGCAGATATCAAAGAAAAAGGCAAGAAGGTCTTGATTGCCTCAGGAACAATTTATACAAGTGCACCCTATTCCCACTTCAAAAGCAGGTTGTGTGGTTAATTAAACTTGGAGGGCATCTCAGCTATGAAGGCTCTATGATTGATGATTCATTTTACTGAACAAAATACGTTTAACAGCATTAGGCATAATTTTAATGATTCATAGTGTGACGGGTTGGGCATTGTAGCAATAAATCTTTTTTATAGGCAGGTCCCAGGAGAACACACAAATGCAGCCATGATTTACAAAACAATTACTCCATAGTCCTACAAAGGGTTCTCTGCAGCTCTCTCTAACACTGTTCTTACTTCGTCTCCTGTCCTAAGTGCTAGGAAGTCTCAGCTTCCTGATTTTAAATCATCACCTAACCAATCTCCTTCCAGCTACTGGTCAGGTGACTGAGAGGGGCAGGTCAACCCCCCAAAGCATTCTGGGTAATGTAGTTCACACCTGAGCTGTCATCTTGCATGCCCCTGTTGTGCTCACAACACTTCCAGCCATTAACACTTAAGTATCAGCAGTAGTTTCTGTGCTGTTGCAACAATGATAATGTAAGGCTTAGAAGAGAGCATGCACCATTGGTCCAACTCAATAAGTAACGAGTTCAGCGAACTAATGAGGACTTAGTTAAAACCAAGGACTCCTGTGTTCTAGAAACCATCAGCAATGCCAGACTTGGAGAAGACCAAAGCAGAGTTCCCACAATAGAGATCAGTAAAACGGCATGCAATAATCTACAGCTTCTGCGCAGAAGCTCCTGGGAGCTGGCAGAGAAACAGATAGCATCTCCCCACCCTGACAGCCAGCCTCCATACAGTGAGCAGTACTCCAGTTTGCTGCAGTGCCCTCGTGTGCCATGTTGGGTTGTACTCTAGCGGCTGGGGCACTGAAGGTCAGGGGTATAAATAGCTCGCTTACGCAGTGCTGTGAGAACGGGGCTTCTGTGTCCCAGTGGGAGCCTGTGAACTGCAGATCACATGAGCAGGGACAGCCTGCACTCCTTTAACCCTCCACGAACGTCGAGGTTCTTTGATTCGTCTTCTTTATGTATCTTTGATTGTTGCAAAAAAAAACCTCCTTTCGCGTCATCGCCTCTCGCCAGAGCTCCCAGCAGTCCGGCTTGGGTTCAGTGTGTGTGGCTTAAAACATGATATTCAGCACTAACGTATCTTCATTACTTACGAGTACCAATCATCCGATATGTTACATCTCTGCTTACACATCACGAAGTACTTTCTGGTGTGTCTGAACATGTGTGGAGGTGAATGAAAGAGTTCCATTATTAAGATGATGTAACTGGGTCACGCTGTGAGCAACACTTATACATCCATTCATTTCCTGACCTCTTCTTCCAGTCCAGGGTTGCGGGAGAGGCGGAGCCAGCCCATTGCAGGGCACACGCATAGACACAAACGCCGATGTACACGCCTCCACCAGGGCCAATTAACCTAATTAAGCCAATTAACCTACCAGTATGCTTTTTGGTCTTTTGGAGGAAACCGGAGCAGCAGGAGGAAACCCACATGAATACAGGGAGAATATACAAACTCAGATAGCACCTCGGGAACCGACCTGGAATTAAACCTACAGCCTTGCAAAAGGGAACTTAATTCTTCTACTGTGTGGGATTCCTTCACCCTCTCTGCAGCCACAAAAAAACCCAAGAGATTTCTGATCAGGCTGTGACTGGAATCCTGGAATTTTGTCAGTCTGTATTGGGGGCTGGGCTCTCAGTGTTGCCCTGTTGTATTTATTCCTTTTTCGCCAGAAAAGCACAGAAACCCACTTTAGCAGAGAGACTAACACCTGGTGACCTCACACCCTCGCAGTCTCTTTTGAATGCTTTTCCTACAGCGGGCCTGGTAACTACGGCAACGGGCCGCCAGCTTGTCAGCGATGGATCTGGTAAAATATCCCCATCCAGTAAGCTAGAGAAAGACATATGACTCAAGGAATGTTTGGAAGCATGCTAAACGGCACCGAACAGCATTACCAATTTAAAAGAAAATGAATGCTGTCGTCAGAGGCTAAGATCAAACACAGCACAGGGAACCAAAGTGATTCTGACAGAGCGTCAGATTGCAGGGAGGGAGTGCTGAGTCCAGCTGTTCCAGATGGTCTGACGTACTCTTAGCCCGCTGTGTCTGAGCCCAGGTTAGAGTGATCTTGCTCCCTGCTGTCAGAAAAGACTCTAGCTAAGGGGTGGAGAGATCGTAGTCGGTTTGCTCAAATCCAAGCAGCTGTATTGGCACGACCCACGAATTTGTTGTCAAAGCAATAGCAATTAACAAGACATTTACTACGAAAAAGTCAGTTCCTTTCTTATAGAAATAAAATAGAAAGGCTTAATTGTGTGCCAAGATCTGGGAAACAGCTATACGATAAGAAAGCAGTCTCTTTCTCTAGACACCCACTTTCCCAGCGCGTGTTTGTTAATCTCCCAGAAAACCCAAGGCAGGGAACAAGGCTCTGGTGTCTTTGTGGCTCTGGCAGAACCACAGGCAGCCAGCAAGCAGAGAGGTTGGTCTACAGATTTCTCTATTCGTTTTTACTGACGTCTTACAGTGTGCCCTCAGTGTCGTAGCTCAGCTGTCCTCACCTGGGAAGTGTCAGGGAGGGCCATGCAGAAACTCACCTCATCATTCACACCTCATCTCAACCTGCTTTCTTTTTAAATGGCTCCAGAAAAGGGCAGCTGTTTAAACTGGAGAATTGTTCAAAAGAAATTCAATAAGTAAAACATTTACTGCAGAGTATCATATTACACTTCCACAGTACGTTGCATCTCAAAGGAACTCAAAGCACTTCATACATACTGCAGGTAGAGACCCATTTCAACCTCCAGTGTTCTGCACCAGCAGTCCCACCTGGGAGAGACACAGCAGGCATTCTGCACCAGCAGCCCCACCACACAGCAAGGGAGAAATCATGTAATTACAGTACGACGGCTAATCAGATGTCACCAGCAGTGTGAAGGTTAGGATTCTGGACTCGTAACTGGAAGGCTGTGGGTTTCAAAGATGTTATCTGAATTGTCCCAGTAAAATATTCAGCTGAATAAATGAATGCAAATGTAAGCTGCGTGGCATAAGTGTCAACCAAATCAATCTTAAAGTAGTAAAACCTGCAATTTGTCATCTGCAGACTTCACGTTTCTACTGCGAGTTGTTCAGCTGATGTTACTCTTATTAGCTGTTGTACAGATTGCACATATAAAGAATGTGCTCAGGTAAAGATTGAGCAAACCTGTGGTGGGCTACACAGTGCATATTTTAAGGTTCTTCTTCAAATGAATTGCATTTCATTTGAAGAACATTCGTGGAAAGACAACTGATCAAATGGAGTCGCCCATAGCAAAGAAATATAAACGCTTTGTGCTTGTTTATAACCTTGCACGGTAGACAGAATGCGTGGCATTCAGATGCTAGACATCGTAAAACATTTTATTTCTATCATTCATCTTAAAAAGACGATTTTGAAAAAAAAGGGAAGAGCAATAAGAAATAGAATGGTACAAAAATAAATATCTTTACACGCTATATATACATATCTGTACATATTGATATTAGAAAAAAAATACAAGAAACTTGGGTTCCCCCGTTTGCGAAGGATGAGCAAACTGTTCACGCTGACGGTTTGACTACGGGGACGAAGTCTCCGAGCGACAGCCCCGTTTCCTTCCTTCCTCCCTTCATCACAAAGCGGGCTTGGCCTTGGAGGACAGCGCCTGCTTGAAGCGCCGCTTGAGGTCCTGCATGTTGGGGGACTTGGGCCGGGGGATGACGGAGCCCCGGCGCTTCTCGCCCAGGATGCACTGCGCCTGCTGCTTGCACGCCGCCTTGCACAGGTGCGCGAACACGTCGCTGACGTCCTCGTAGGTCTCGCTGGTGGAGAGCTCCAGGAAGACGGCGCCCAGCTCGCTGGCCAGCCTCAGCCCCTCGTGCGCGGGGACCCGCCGGGCGTGCAGCAGGTCGCCCTTGTTCGCCACCACGGCCACGGGCGCTTTGCACTCCGGGTGCGCCTGGCGGATGTGCTGGTGCAGGCACTGAATGGCCTCATAGCTGCAGTAGTCCGTGATGGAGTACACCAGGAGAAAGCAGTCGGCCCACTGGATACTTCGAGCGACCATGTCTGGAATCCGAGCTCCGTCTCCACTCATCTAGCGGGGGAGAACAACAGATCTTGAGTCTCACGCATGTCACCAGCACCCCTGCTCTTGAACTGGGGAGCTGTGAGCACCCTCCCGGGTCGTGGGGACCAAGACTCCACAGTTCAAGTTCACAGCGAGTGTCGTTTGTACTGTACCCGAGTGCAAGGAAAGGCTGACGTGCGTGTTTTCCCCACATGACGAATGACACGGAAGATGACATAACACTGACATAGAAACCGACACAACAAATGAAGTCACGGCTCTTGGAGGCAGGAACGGGGCAGCAGCTAGAAACGCAACCCTCAGTTAGAGAGCGGCTGTGCGCAAAAGTCGCCTGTTGCAGTATTTGCAGTTCAGTGCAAAATGCAAGTGGTGGCAGCGTTTTGGGTTGAGCGCAAAACTGAGGGGCGTATGCAGGGGGTAGAAGGGTGTTAGAGATCAGATCTTGGATATTATTAGATAAGGCAATAAGTATTGCAAGCAGGTAGCCGGGAATTGCATTTGAAACTACACCACATACAAGTCGCCCAGCTCCGCATAATTTCCTATAGATACACAACACGGGCGCCTGAGATCAGCAGGAGGCGGCACTAGCTTTTGAATGTGAAGAATGCTGTTGTTAACTGGCTGCCACTGCGCGAGTCTGGGGGCCTTTGAACGCTTAAGGGCTCTTTACTCTTACCTGGACGCACGGGGTGTCCTGGATCTGAACAGACAGCGGCGCGCCTTCCAGATGCACCAGTCTGGAATACAGGTTCCCTGGCCAAGGAAAAGCAAGAGACACACGTTTACTCGCCAATCAAGGTCGCTACTCCTGTGTCACGTTCCTCCGGCATCGAAATGAAATGCTTACCGGTGTTGGGCTCGTAATCGCCGATGAATCTCTTGGTGAGAAACCGCACCACCATGGCTGGGAAAACAGACAGCGAAACACAGCGTCACCGGGGTCCAGAAGCAAGGCACGGCATCAAAACACTCCCGCGTTCCTGGCCGGAGCAAGAAACTCCGTTCTGTCTGAACTACAGCTCATTACACAGAGCTCCGCCTGTGATTACAGTGGGTACAAGTCCCTAGCCCCTGGGGGACCGCTCCTTCAGACCAGATACCGCGTAACCGGTGTAATTAAAAAAAAATGAAACTGTCCTACCAAGAATACGTCAATGGAATTTCTCGTTTCCTTCTTTTTTTTAACCGAATAAACAAAGAATGTGATTCAGTTGCACCTACAGGAAGTCTTTTGCCAACCGGCAACACCAACATAATAATTACCTGTTTTGCCCACTCCGCTGGTTCCCAGCACCGCAATCTTAATATCCCGGTGTAAAAAGTAATCCGTTGTCTCCGGAATCGGTGTGAGCAAAAAGTTGTTTGACATGGTCAGCTGGCGCATCGGCAACTCTCCAACGGCGATGGGTAATATTTATTCCAGACGTCTTATGCGTTTGTTCTATCGCTCGCAGAATCCTCCGCGTCGAGGACCTCAGTGGGTGTTTTCTTTCCCTGAGTATGAAAGGAAATAAAATAACCGATCACTTAACCGGCGGTCTAAGAAACTGGGCTTGTCGCCGGTGCCGATCTCTCCTGGGAAGTAGGGCTGTCTGCACCGGCTTGGACCCGGACGACTTTTTATCTGCTGGCGCTGGCTGCGGCTGGGAAAACGTCCCTCCTATTTTGTATTCGAGGAGCCAATGAAGCCGGGCTGACATCCGAAGTGCGTAAAGGTTTTCTCTGCGCGGAGACGTTACGCATCGCCCTCCTCCTCCAGCGACGGAAAAGCTGGCCGCATCAGCACCCGAGGGCGGGAGGAGGGGACCTCCCCCCCCCGCCGCCGTGGGCCGCAGGAGGCCCGCCGAGGCCGAGGCGAGCCCGGTTCGACTGCTGTCGTTAACGGCGATCGCCAGCCTCCTGCTTCCGTTACCCGGCCAGAGTTTTAGCGGCGGGCCCAGCAGATGAAGAGTAACGCCACAGCAAGACATCGGCGCAGGAACGTGGGCGGTGAAAACGTGTGTCAAAAAACATTTCTCAGCGACTTTGGTTTTGTTGCCGAGTGTTAACGCCCCCATTAGAAAACACACGTTTAAAACGACTAAAACGTTTTGATGGTAGTTGGGAAATAGAATGTCCCTTCGATACTGAAAGAAGTATCGGGCATCGTTTCAGTCTTTGATCTCCCTTTCCTTTATATTGAAACGTGACTCGCACTTAATGTGCCTGCCACGCTCCACCTTTCATTCGCGTGAAATTGTGGCCACGTGTCGTGGCCTGTCGCGGAGATTAATACCCCTGCTCCTAGTGACCTCCATCACCCCCGGCGTGTACCTCTAAACAGACTGTTCCTTTATTCTGTCAGCAAATTTGGTTTAATAGCACATGTACTACTTCTTATAGTACATGTGCTGTTAAACCAAAATGCTACTTGAGGGCACAAAGTTTTATCTCCAGTAGCATGAGTATGTGTATGACACCCTGCTATTTGCACTGGACCCTCATTTTAACATCTCGGTGTCTCTTTAAGTACTTTAATGGTCTTTGGCTGTGTCGTTTAACGCGCACAGCTAAGTTGATAATGCACCCCTCTTTTCTTGAGCCTAGGTTCTGGAGTGAATGTTTTCTGAACCCCGATGGAATTTTCAACTAGGAAACCATTTTCTTTCATCTTATTCCCTGCTGAAAAGAGAAGAAAAGAAACACAACGTTTCGGCTGTGGAGTCTTCTTTGGGTGTGTGTAATCTGTTGACAAAAAAATGAATAGGACACCTACTTTTCTGCAGGTTCCACTGCCGAAACGTTGTGTTTATTTTCTCTTTTCAGCAGGGAATAAACCTTTACTTGTTCCTTTGCAGCCTACGCATGCTGACGCAGCTCCCTACTCGAACTATTCCAGATAAAATACCACCAGCTTTGCCGAACCACAGACTTGTCATTTTCATCCTCCTAATGACAACAAGAGAATAAAACAAATATGATTTATGAAGCAACGGGTCTAAGACAACTGAGTGACTCAAGCCTAGCGCTGTATACTGTTGGCTTAATGCACAACGATCTCAGAACAAGCGCAAACCCACGAAAACATATTATGTTATACTATTATTCGTTATTGTATATTTACACATTGACTAATAACACGGCCTGTTTATTATAAATTAAATGTATCTGATGTCTTTATTTTAAATGGTTTGCAATTATCACAGCAGAGAGTAATTAAAGGTTCATTCGGTGATTTGCGTCAGGGTGTGCAAACGGTGCATGCACTTTCCAGATAACAAACCTCGAGATATTTCGGCGTATTTATTTCCCCAGGTACCAGGAGTCGCAGGAGTGGAACTGCACAGGTGGGTGACAGGACTGCTCTGACGTAGAACAGGCCTGGACCAGATTTCATCAAGAATACATGTCATATCGTTTACCAAACCGCTTTATTCCATACGGTGTTGCGGGAAGTCGGCGCCTACCTGGCCAGCAACGAGCGCAAGGCAGGGTACACCCTGGACTGGACGTCAGTCCATCGCAGGGCAAGTGCAAGCCAATCATACATGGGGACAGTTTGGAGGCCACGGTAAAGGCCGAGAGGGAAATTTGACCCGGACACCGTGATATCTCCCTTCTCTTATCGAGAAACGCCCGGGAATCTTTAATGACCACCGAGAGTCAGGACCTCGGTTTAACGGCTCATCCGAAAGACGGTTCATCAAGAAGTGATGGAGTTTATTTCAGTGCTAAAGTATATTCTGAAACGGGTTTGCCGGTTTACAAACTAGACGCAAATAACATTCCCCCCCAAACGTACAATAAATTATATTGCACACAACAGCTGAAAACGCACGAAACATTGCGTCCAACAGGTTGAGGCCCCAAGTGTCTTCTAATTTCAGTATAATGTCTGTTTAGCTGTCTTGGTGAAGTCATGTGTTTCTTTCCTGGAGTGACATATAATCACATGGCTATTTCAGATCCACTCATGAAAGCACTCGCACAAACAGTTCCGTGCCTTTGGCTTCTTCTTCATCTTTGAAAAGTAATTTGATTCAGGTAAAAAATAAAACAACAACCTCTTATCAATGAAGCGAAACCCAGACGCGATCAAAGATGGATTCGCATAACATGACATTTTACAGGAAGCGACGCTCAGTTAAAGAAGCAGCGAGGCTGGACAATTAAAAAGATCTGGACGATTCGAAGGAGGGAACAGAGTAATTTGGTAGATAATAAGGAGCAGGAATAGAAAGTAACTTCTGCAGAAACACAGCGGCGAGTTGCCTTAGCAACGGGCTGCAACATAAAGTCCTTCACATATTAAAATGTTTGCTTCATATCAATTCGGCAGTGACTGGTTATTCGGTTTTTCAGCTGTGGTCCCAACGGTTTGCTAATCGGGATCTAACTGAGAAACGGGAACGCAGGAAAGGTTACAAACGGAACGAAGTCGTTCACATCGTCTAAAGAGGTGTTTGTAGCAATTTGGGTCAAGGCTCTTGTTTCTTAAAAAAAAAGCCAGGATATTTTCGGCAGCATGTCCACACCTGTCCTCAGCTCAAATGTCCGTTTGTGTTTGGGTGTTGATTCAGAAGATGTCCAGGGAGTTGACTTTGTCGATTACTCTGAGGGCTTGAATCAGGTTAACTCGCAGCGTTTTCTTTTTGTCTGTCCGTTTTGGATATTCCCTTGAGTCCAATCGTGAACTGGATCTATTCGATCTTCTCCGTACTAATTCCAGTGCAGAAATATCTTCTTTTTCATTTTTTGGACAAAACTGTAAATGATACCCCAGACGAATGCTTAAGAAAATTCTCAGATTTAATTGCAATTCTAGCACTATTCCACAGGTTACAAAACCCGTTTCAATGGGGAAAAGATATTAGGACGGAGGAGGCTACAAATCAATCTCTTGATACTGAAATAGAGCACTGAACACTGGAAACAGTTATTTTTCACGATCAAGGTGGCGTAAAAACAAAAATAAAAGATTATTCTACTTGCACGCTAACGTCCTTTATTTTCTGTCTGGGCAAACTACGTATTCAGTTATATTAGCAAGCCAGCAAGGAGTGTAACACTACAAGCTATTAGGACATACACAGAACTAATTTGAATATATAATATTGTTTGGTGGTGAACAATACGGCCGAAAAACAAACACGCAAAACTGTGGAAACCGGTAACAAAAAAACCCACGTTTAATATCCAATTATCAAAATACACCTTTGAATAAATTACAGTGCTAATCCCCTATTGGTTTATATTGTGATAACGTAGGTGCGCCCATTGTCTAATTATGTACTATTACGGAGCACGCCAGCAGCAGAGAATGTGTGTGATAAACACGCTGCGGGCAAATGTTAATATAAGAAACTGTGTCAGTCTAGTATATGGAATACTCAATCCAGGGAAATACTGGTGATCTGAAAAGAGGTGGACGAGTTTATTGTCTGAGATAGCGTTTACTCACTGTTTTTGTAGGCTTAAGTTTTCATTAGTACCTGTGGCTAAAACCTTGCTGAACAAATGATTCTCTTGTGTATTTACAGTACATGTGTATCATCTGCGAGTGTTTCTATAGTCTGTTGTTGTAAAAACAAATTGCCCCTTGGGGATAATAAAGATACTCTCTCCATGCTTCTGTTTTCTAAAGCCTCTCCATGCAATTCAGGGTCTCGGGGTGGAGTCGGAGCCTATCCCCGGCAAGCTACGTAGACATGCGTACCATGTTCTAATACACCTCGAAAACAGAACTGCACGCCGGTTTACTGAAACACTCATATGTTTGTGATGAACGACTTACAGAGCAACCTCGCTGCCTGCCTAGGTCCGGAGACCGTTGTATAGCACAATTAACCAGCATGCCTCTCTTATTACTGAGGGTGTCTGGCAAAAAGAACTTATTAAGTTTCTCGTTACAGTCCAACATTACAGCAGAATGTCGGCACTAGGGAAGGAACACTGCACATCCGGTGAATTTCCCAACGAAGCACTTTGAGAAGAAAGCAAGTTAAAGGGCGAGTCAGACAACAGGTTAGCTGTCACGAATCCTACTGCCCTCCCAGAAACAGACGTGTACTATTTGTATATGGACATAAATAATAATATCATCCTTACACGTATATAACACTCTATAGGTACTGGGGACTCCCCTCCTCCACCAGTATGTAGCACCACCTACAACTCCAGCCATAGTGCACCAGTACGCTCCCCACACACCAGCTCTCAGGGAGAAGAACAGTGATGAAGAGATGGGAATGAATATGAGGCCATGACTGGTAAAGGCCAGGGGAAGGTGGCCAGACACTTAGAACAATTGTAGTGCTAACCCACTGTTGGCTTATATTGTGATAACATAAGTGAATTCATAGAATTCTGAAATGTCTGTCCATCTAAAAGATGTACACTCATATTTCAACAACTTTCCTTGTTTAAGTTGTCATAGTTAGACTAATACACGTCTATAGAAACTGGTGACCTATAAAAACTGCTGGACTGGAAAATTTCCAGGACCGGTGTTAGAGACCCCAAAGGAGAAACTGTGTCAAAACAGCAGGAAAAAAAATTGCAGGATTTTTCTAACCCTTACGTAGCGAGCTGGGGGAAACAGCAGTGTACGCAAAACACAACCCACCGTGACTCTTCAGCAGCTGGAATGCATGTGAGGGATATAGACTCAGCATTACTGGCACCAAAAAAATAGAAATTGAAATAAAACAGATCCCACTTCACCCCTTGCAGAATTCCATTCTCTAAGGTTTTCTGTGTCACTAAGCAAACAATTGCTCAACACATCCCCCACCTGAACTATTAACACGTTTAAATAGCGTTAACCCTTCTCTTCTTCTAAAAAAGTGCCCTGTTCAGTTTTTTACAGGCAACTTGACATCCTGGAGCTGAAAAACCAACAGAGGGATATAAACGTTTGGAGTATCTGGGAGATCAGCTGGCTCCGTGGAAAGAATTCATTTCCAACAGTGTCACCCATGATGCTCCCTGATGACAATCACTTAACTACTCATTGTTATCTGCAGCACAGGGCTTTTCTTGAAAGTGTTTCCCTCAGCTTCTACCCTGCATGTGCAAGGAATAAGATAATCTTCCCCTCTCCTGGCAATCAGGGTGGCTGGTGGTGGACTATATACGTCCAGCTACACAATGGACTGTTTTTCTCCCTGGCAGCATACCTTAAATATTAAAACCAATTCAAAGCACTTGGGATAGTGGCTCTGGCCCTCTTGCACAAGATCCACAGAAGGCCTGGAATCAGCTAAATGACACTACGATGATGAACAATGACCTCGAGGGGTATCGGAGGTGCTGTGTCATTACTGCAGCCCATAATACTCCGAATAGCCCCACTGTTTCCATGCCTGGCCTCCCACCCCACAACAGCTGGGGATTCTGACCTTACACTCATTCTCCGAATGTGGATGGGGCTCACTGTGGCTGCATTAGGGTTTCGGATTTTAATTTTTGTTTTTACACCCAGGTGTGCTGCAGATAATGGGACCTGTCTACTCAATGTTCAATATGCCTAAAGATGAAGATATGCAGAACTCCCAACAGCGCAAAACCGACTGTGTTGTAAACGTCTGAGGCCCTCGTATGTCAGCCAGGGAATGGACAACAGAATGATGGAGTGCTTACCAGACCAGCTGCACTACACCCATATTAAACAAATAAAAGTTTTCATTATTCGAAAGCAAGGTTGTTTCCAAGTTCATTACTCTGGAAGTCTGAGCACTGTGCAATTCCAAGATATTTTTCTGAAAAACACCCATCCTCAAAACTCACAGCTGGATACAATGTCTCCCACTGAGTGACTTTACTAGGTTAACTATTGGTATTTGTGTAACACCTATTCTATATCTGTGCATTAGTACTTTCTAAAGGCATAAGCAAAACATTCAACTACATTGACATGAAATTAAAAATGTCCCGTCATTATATATGCTGCATCATTTTTACCTTCCAGATAGTTTTCAACTTAGACCCCCAAGTTATGTACCATGGACCCAGGGAACATAAACTGCACATTCCAATTCCCCTCAAAAGGCTCCATATATGTAAAGATTACCATCTGCAATTGCTGACAAGTGCTCGCTCCATCCCAGTACCTATTGTGACTTGGTTAAGAAGTCTGAAGACTAAACTCCTAGCAACTCTACGGCAGTTTCTTACAGGGCTGCAAACGATAACTTCAGACCAAACCTGTCGATGTGATGGAAGCAGATACCCTGGGTCTTTTCAAGAAAGAGAACCATCCATCAAATGGCTACAACCAGACTAGATGGGCTGAATGGCCATTTATTGTTCCAAGCTCCACAAAAAAATAACATGCAGCCACACAAGATGAAGCATGGAAGAGATGAGAGCGGGGCTGTTACAAACAGAAGCACATACAGTAATACAGGCAGCTTGTCGTTCACCCAGCCTCACTGTGTCAGCGCTGGTTTGCTCTCAGTTCGCCGGTGAAACTATTCTCACTTTGCCTCACAGGGCAATCGTAAGAGGAGGATCATCACTGAGCACCAGCAGCCCCCGACACTCCACTCGCCTCTCTTCCCAGAGCTACAAACACACACACACTCAAATCAGAGATGAAAACAGACCATTCAAGCCAAGACCTTTTGTGAAAATGTCTTTATTGGCCGTGCAGGACATTTTATGCCATGAACTCGTAGGGGATGGGCTCCAGCAGCTGAGGCTCGTTATTTTTGGTGGTCACGAAGTGCGCCTTCCGGGGAGCAGCAGGCTGCAAAAACAAAGAAGACCAACAGTCAGAAGACGTCAGATGAGCGTGCCTCCCCCCGATGCTTGAATGAAGCTATAACACGCAGGTTATATTTAGATTTAGCACAAACTGACTGCTCTAAGACAAATTTAGCAGAAGGGAAAATGCTCCACAATTGGGAAGAAGGAGGAAGGGTCCCAATTAGTTGTCACCATTCAGAAGGATGGCGAGTGATCATGCGATTCCCTGAAGCCAACACAGGAGCAGAAAATCAGTATTGGGCACTACACAGGGCTTCTGTACCGCCCTTTCTTACAGGAACACCAGTTTTCTCACACGTCTTTACACTTTGCACAAATAGCAACACTTCTGAGAACCGTCATGAAAAGTGTCCCATTACCCAATACCTTCCACAGACACACACACAAAAAAAAAAACAAATGAGCAGTAAGTAGCTGCTGCAACAGAAGAGCCCTAGAGAATCTTTTCAGTCTTCACATTCAGGGAGCCTCCCTCATCAAACCAGTGCCCACCCACGCAGGGGGGAAAAATAAACGGAAGTGTGGACCCCCCCTGTCAGGGGGGGCAGCTGTGAGAGTCCCGCAGAGAACGTGCCGAGTCATCGGCGCCGCCTCCGACTCGGCATACCTGACGCTTCAGCTCCACCCAGGTGCCCTTCGCCTTGGCCTCGATCTTCCTCCTCTCGTTCTCCTTCACCCGCTGCAGGAAGCTGTCCCTGCTCTTCGAGTGCTTGACGTGCTCAATGCGCACGTTGATCCTCTTGGCCAGGATCTTGCCCCTGCAGAGAGAAAAGGTGACACGGAGCCCCTTTTAACCATCAAATTAAAAAACGTATACCGACGCCCGGCCCGCGTCACTGTAGCCGCAGATGTGTCCTCTCACAGGATCCAAGCCAAACAACTTGTTCGCTTGCGTTTTGAAAAAAGGACTTCAATATACCCCACCTGAATGACCATTCAAGACACTTGGGCTGTCTGAATGGCAAAGTGAAATGGGGCACAGCTGCAGGAATGATTATGGGCTTTATAACATGTTGAATGAGAGACTCACATTTAAAATCCTGTGCCTTTCAATCCTCTGATCTGTTACCATGACCAGTGAATATACAGTGACCTCGACTCACGTTTTTACACTCAGTCTTTTACTTCTCCTTTCCTACTGTAAAACTGTACTTTTACTGATGTTAATCTTTTCCCCCCAACAAATATAATCTTTGTCACTTAAAACTTTTAGTCCTAACTGCTTTGGCAACACATTGATGTCGTCTCGCACTGATCAATAACATGTTTTGTGAACCTTACACGCCACAAAGTTAAATTCTAAACAAAGCTTTTCATAAAGAACGTTTTTTATCCCCACCCAATCAAAGCTCTAGTACTGTTCAGACCACGAGGAAAAGAACAACTCTTTAGGTCAACATTTGCCGAAAGACACAAAGCAAGAGAAAAACAATCGTATACTTACTTAACCTGTTTGTTGACAATGATGCCCACAGCATGCTGTGTCACATTGTAAATTCTGCCAGTCTTGCCATGGTAGCACTTGTGGGGCATTCCTTTTTGGACAGTACCCGTTCCCTACGAAGTTTTATCAAATAAAAAAAATAAAAGAAAAGAACATAGACAAATATTCAAAGAAAACAATCAAATCAACTGCTACACGATCACAGTGTCGGTTGAAACTACTTTCACTTACAATAAATTACAGAGGCATCCGTTATTGACTGCCCTGCACATTTCCCAGAGATAGAGCCAATATTCATTGTGCTTTTTAGTGCTTATTAGCTTACTTACAATCCACAAATCATATGCAGACACAGAAGTTAACTGATTTCATGTACTCTGTCCATATAAAAAGATCCCAATGTCAACCGATTTACTGTTTGTGGGCGAGGCAATTGTAAGAACATTTTCAAGCTTCGGCAGGTAGTGATTTCACTCTTGAGCAACAGGAGTAAAGTTTAGCAGTTGCTCTGATATATTTACCCGAAACACTACCCATGCGAAAATGTGCAAAACGAAAACTTCATTAGTTTCACACTGCCTGCATCAGACTCCCTCTGTACACCGGTTTGATCCCATTCAAAATGTGCACACTGCGGGCAGCTTCAAAATTCACACTAGTGTAGCAGAAAAACAGTATTTCAACTCTTACAACACCTTTTGGAATAAAGTAACCTTAAAATATCCATCACTGTAGATCACAAGACATGAAATGGACCAGAACACCGTGAAACAGGAGTTACATTTAAGTCCCTGCGTCTTATAACTCTGCAAGTTACAACATACCTTGATGTCAACAATATCTCCTTTTCTGTAGATACGCATGTAAGTCGACAGTGGAACAGGCCCTGTTGAACAAATCAAGATCACAGCATAAAAAACTGCACACATTTTCAAAGTATTGTAATTTCCACACAATGCATATCCTTACTTCCAATACATCAAATTTGACCTTTAATTTGCAACTAGAGAAGCATGTCATGGCACTGAATTACGACAAACAGCACTCCCAACAAATGCAGAATACAAAAGGTCTGAAAGTGACTGATAATGAAGGAAAAATAAATTGTCGGTAGACTGACAGGATAGGCTTCCAAAAACCTACAGAACCAAAAATGGCTCCTTTAAAGTGTGACAGCAAACCTAATGTTGATATTTAGCCCAGAAGATCATGTTATTGGCTGAAGCAGGTGGCTCAACTTAGATCAGCAGAAAGGCCAGAAATGAGAAGTCCATTCAACTCATCTGGGTTTCGGTGATCTGTTTAGTCCCAAGACAGAACCGGCAACTGGTTCTGCCAAGTACACCACCCAAATAAAATGATTTTTAGAGTAGCCAGTCAAAGCCGATGTGTCTTTGGCAGGTGGCTGGAAAGTACGAAGCATTTGGAGAAAATCCCAGTTTTGGTATGGGTTGAGCTCTCTAGCTCCACACAGATGTCCCGAGCTGGATTCGAACCCGAAGCCCTGGCGGTATGAGACGCAATGCAGATACTCACCATGTTTGCGGAAGGGCCTGGAGAACATGTACCTCGTGCCCCTCCTCTTGCCCCTGGTGTTAGTCATGTCGACAGCTTAACTGCAAGACAAACGTCACACGTTAAAACTACCCAACTGCACCTCCTTCCTACCGAGCTACATCTGGGGCATCTGCTTCTAGAATACACTGCACAAGTCAGCATCCATATCCAAACCTCGTCAAGGTACCCTTGAGGCCGACAGTTTAATCACTGCAAACAAGTGCAAGGACACAACTGAACATCTCTAGAGTGACTTAAAACTGCTTCCAGCTCTCATTGGCCTTGAAGACGCTCTTGTTTATGTGCAGGGTGACTCCGTTACATAAAACTCGTAATAAACTGGGAAAAGTAAACAGATACCTGTGAAGCAGATTTTAAAAGTCTGACACCCGAAGCCTATTGGTAAGAAACAACATAAGATACAACCCTGAAGCAAGTTCGACATTGAGGAAAAATTACGTTATGGGAGCTCCGCGTATTTATCAATAGACCGAATATGGGAAGATTAAACGACATAACGTGAATTTTGATAAGGGGCCGAATAAGAAACGATATACCCCAAGAGCACTTTAAAAAAAAGCAAAATACACTAATGATCAATATCGCAATCCTGCGTGCAATCAAGCAAGCAAAGATATTAAGACGTGGGACTTCTTACTGCTGAGAGTCTCAGCTGTGACCGGACCGTGAAATCGCTGCATGTAAAAATTAAATAGCAACTCAACTGCAAAAACAACTACTAGTACGCCATCTTTAATTTCAGCTCTGTGTCAAAGAAACATATGGGCCCGCAGCCACCAAAATCTCCCAAAGTGTAAACGTTGTATTTAAGATGAACGCAGTACAGAGAGGGCCCACATGGGCTGCCATGCAGTCTGTCCGCCTCATGAAACATCACCCCACAAAAGAAACATTTTTTTCCGCTTTCCGGTCGTCATTTAAAACGCAGACCGAACCAACCTGTCTTCAGAAACACTTCTAGATGTGCGCAAGGGAAACTTGCGGTATATTTCTGGGCAATAAAGACCCTATTTTTAAAAAGAATTGAGGAGCTCTGCCTACCCCTGCTAGCTTTCAAGATGGAGGGTCCGGCGGAAAGAGAGAGCGAAGGACCCCAGCTCCGCCTTACACAGTGGAACTGAGGAGGACAACGCCTTCGCCTGATCGAAAATGCAAAGGCGCTTCGAAACAGATCTGACTTACCTCCTTGTGCTATGCAACGAGTCTAAAACCCGTGTGGTTGAAGTAAATAGCATGTTTATTTTGCTAACTTTTTACAAGGCATCGGGTTTATTTTATTTATCCCGAAGGACCCTAGATCGCTATCACATGATTAATGAGATCACGCCGCATTGGAGGTGGTGGCCGGGGGGTGCAGTTTTTGTGCAAATGCTGGGGGCGGGAGAGGTCAGCCAGTGTGTTTCTCTTGTGCCATTTATGAAACCTTTGCTTTGCGTAGGATCGTTCTGACCCAGCAATGTTTCCCTATGCCTTCAACAAATGAAACAGAAACGCAGTATTACATCAGCCGGGAGTTAGCGCTATTTTGTGGCGTCGAGTCATTACAGTTAAAACAAGAATATTTATTTTGGGTCTGTAAGATGAGTTTTAATAATTCCTGGGGTTTGGTATATATTGCTTTCGGCTCCATCAGGGATAACAGATGTTTAAAACATTGCATACATGGGGGTGGCCAACCACACTTCTGGACAGCCTGTCCGGCGGGCTTCGTTGCTCACCGTTAATTAATCGATTTGTAAACAAGCACAACACTCTTTGGGACGTGTAACTGCCTAAAGGGGAGGTCTGTGTAAATCACCTGAGATGGAAAATACCAAACACCCTGCCATTCTCGAGGACTACTGAGGGAGGGGTGATCCTGACGTCGTGGGATCAGTTGATTGACTGAACCGATCAGAACGGACGCCGTCTTCCAGGTCTGTCCAAGCAGGCGCCTTCCCCTGGACCTGCTCGATGGTAGCACGGCCGGGACACGATGGAAATCAGCCTCTTGCGGCGCTGAAGCATGAGTCTTAAGCCCCGGAACAGAAGATTCACACCCCCACCCCCCCATGACCCGCCCGGCGCCTTGCCCATCTCCGCCTTGCCCTAACTGCCTGCATCGCCGAGATTTCATGCCAAGGGCACGGACCTGTTGCGGGAAATAACGTTGTATTTATCCCATGCCGCTTCTGGGCACCCGTTTCGAAGCGGCCGACCTGAGCGCGGAGAGAGGCCGTCGGCTCTAGGACCTGCCCGTCCGCAGGGCGCCCGCTTCTGCAGCACGGTCGCCCTCACTCCCTGCGCACTGTGATTGGGTGGAAGATGGCGCTGGGCGGATGGAAATCCTAATGACAGTTTCCAAAATCGCCTCCATTTGTACCATGGTAAGCAACAATTTACTTTAAAAAAAAAAAAACCCACATTTAGACAAATGCCCAGTTTGCCTGGCTGCTGGCGCAACGTGCCCGGGCACCGGCGAGGGCGGAGAAGACCGAGCAATTTCGGTTTCCCTGCTTCCTGGCTGGCTCCGAGATTCACTTTCACATAAGAGTAGCTCCTGGGTTTTGCAGGCCTAATCGTGTTCGTGCAGTTTGTCCGGGAGCTGCATGTTGTTTTTAAAAGCAGGATGTCACCCTTAAATGGTTGCGCGGCGATCGATTGCTACAGTATTTGTAAGTGGCCATATAATTGTCACACCGAAACAGCGAAAGCTTCTGTAGCAGTTTGACGCTGGATACGATCTGATCACCGTTTTGAAGTAGGGGGAAAAAATATAAACCGGTGCATTTTGCAAGATCCTGTTCCATTTTTATTTTACCGTGCAGGTGCAGGTTAGTTGTGATGTTGTGGTGGATTATACGCATATGGTCGTATTTGCTCGCAAGTGTAACTAGATTGTAGCGTCTAGTTAACTGCATTGATTGCGTGACACTGTCTCCGGTTGTTAGAAATTGAAGAATTGCGTGGATGTCATCGTAAATAAACGTGTTTATGACTAACGTAAGCGCGATTCACGTAACGTACGAAAAAGGATGATGGACTCTACACTTAAATAGAACTTTTGAAGATGCAACAGTTACAGGCCAGGTTATGACACAATACCCGAGCACCAAATGTATTATTGTAGTGAACATACCGAAGTTGAAAACGTTGAAACATTAATGCAGCATAGCACTTAAATTGCAATGGGTGAATGACCAGTATTTGTTTTCCATACATGATTGTCAAACATCAGCTGTGTAACAGCAGTGCATTCAGCACATGATTCCTCATCCCTGCTCAAGCAGGTGCCTGTGCCGGAGGGGAAGCCTGTGTCCGTGTGTTGGGAATGTCTATGGGCCTGGTCTTGTAGCCTGTGGTCTGCAGAGGAGCCTGCTGTTTTGCAGGTCGCAGGAGCTGTTCCTAGGTGTTAATTATGTCCTGGAAATCTCAGGCTTCCCAAGGTCTCCTGCTCGGAGATGCAGGCTTATTACGGACTCCACAGGCAGCCTAGTCAGCACCTGGGGAGAAGTCAATTGGGGGCTGTATCCTCGTTCTCTCTGCAAAGGGGGCCGGAGTCAGTCAGCGTCTGAGCAGAGCAGTACAGGGAAAGAAGGCATTTGCTTATCGGTGTTGTGTGTGTTTGTCGTTTTCTTACTTCTGCCTCACAGTGTATCATATAAACTAAGAAAAGTGAGTTGCTTTCCACGAATAGTTATCAAAATTAAATATTTCACTTTGGCTGATGCATTCCTTCAGAGGTCCTGACTCTAAAGGAGCCATACCTGCTATTCTGATAATGCTACAAATATAGACATGGGTTCAATTAAAATCTTGCTTCTTGGGCATAGAGCAAGATGGATGGTTTGGCTTGAAATTAACTTGGTCTGGGGAGAGCAGATATGTGCCTAGGAGAAGGAGTGGAGCAAGTGAGGCAGTGCTATGAAAATGGAGCTGCTCCTGTCCTGTGTTTATTTTTCGTTTTCCGCCTGGCCAGTTCCATCAGCCTGGAGTTAATATATCTGGGCCCGGTGGTGTTGGAGGCGAGGCAGTAACATTGCTGCCTCAGAGCTCTGGGGTTCTGTGTTCGATTGTGGGCTGAAGCGCATTCTGATGGGGAAATTAGCCCTTCCTCTCTCCCACATGTTTACTGGGGTCTTCTCCCCGTGCCTCAGTGTTCTCCCACGCCCCCAGAATGCAGGCTGTGATTGGCTGGGCTGGATTGTCCAAATGCATGAGTAGCAGGATTGCAGCCCTGTCCTCATTAACCTGCCCTGTCTGGGGGTAGCTGGGCAGCAAAGCCAACCTCCATCTGGCCGGGATGAGGCGTCGGGTGAGGAAGAAGAAATAAAGGGGGGTGTGTTTACAGCGTGTTAGCCGAGCCCTTTCACAAGCGCCGTAGGGAGACCGTCAGTACGAGAGCTCGTACGATCATGTGGGGTGGGAAGAGCACACAAGGTTCTGCGCTCTCTGGTGGCCCCCTGTCCCATGTCGGTGCCCTGCTGGACCAGTAAAGGGGCTCACCCTGTGTTGTTTCAGGGCGCCAATGCCTCTGCTTTGGAAAAAGAGATTGGCCCAGAGCAGTTCCCCGTCAACGAGCACTACTTCGGCTTAGTCAACGTGAGTATTTGCGCCTCCTGCCTGGTGCCCATGTGGGAAATGAAAAAAAAAGGCTTTTTAATAAGTGTTTTACTAGCGTCTTGCATTGTGCTTATGTATTATTATTATTATTAATATCACTGCATAATAATTTAGAACTAGAACTTTTTCCCTTTGACAAATATTCTCCATTTATGTTACCACATTTGCAGAGATGATAACTTTGGTTGTACCTCCTTTAAAGCTCTCTTGAAGAGGTAGACAAAACGTAAAGGGACTCCTGTGGAGAAATACCCTGTAATACACTGTTTTTAAGTGTCGCAGGAGGACTAGAATAACTTTGGCAGTGGAGTATGGTGCTTCCTGCTCGGACTCTACCTCTGCACTGGAGAGCCGATGTGGAACCACGCGTCTTGAGAGGAACTGAGGCTGTCAATTTCCATTCCCCCCCCCCTCCCTTAGTTCGGGAACACGTGCTACTGCAACTCTGTCCTGCAAGCGCTCTATTTCTGCCGGCCGTTCCGGGAGAAGGTCCTGGCGTACAAGAGCCAGCCCCGTCGGAAGGAGAGTCTGCTGACCTGCCTGGCCGACCTCTTCCACAGCATCGCCACCCAGAAGAAGAAAGTGGGGGTCATCCCCCCGAAGAAGTTCATCACCCGGCTGCGCAAGGAGAACGGTGAGCTCCTGTCGATGGGGCGTGTCCCGGCGTCTGGAGGTTTCATTACCTAATGGCTAAACTGGTGCTGATACCTATCTCGGTTTTCTAAGGTCTCCAGCTATTGATGATTTAAACCCAGCAAGCCCACTGAAATCTGGCCCTCGGGGGCTGGAGGGGTCATATCTGACACGCTACCTGATCTGATCTGATACCGCCCCCCCTTTGTGTTTGTGTGTGTGTCTGCCCAGAGCTTTTTGATAACTACATGCAGCAGGATGCCCACGAGTTCCTCAACTACCTGCTGAACACCATCGCGGACCTGCTGCAGGATGAGAGGAAGCAGGAGAAGCAGAACGGCCGCCTGCCCAACGGCACCCTGGACGCGCAGAACAACAACGCCCCGCCCCAGCCCACCTGGGTGCACGAGATCTTCCAGGGCACGCTCACCAACGAGACGCGCTGCCTCACCTGCGAGACTGTGAGTGGGCCGGGCCAGCACTGCTCTCTCTGCGGTTTCGGGACTTGTCCGACGGCTGCTTTAGTCGTGTCACTGTTCCTGAGTGACCCGATGGGTTAAGTCGACACTGACGGGCCTTGAAGGCTTGCGGTGCGATGGAATGGGAGTGCCCAGGCTGACTGCCTCTAGCTCAGACCAAACTAGAAGGGACTGTATTGCATGCCAGCATGCTGCCAGACCAGATACCCCGTCCCTGGTCCTGGAGACAACAGAATGAGGTCTTCTGGTTTTCATTATGCTCGAGCTCTCTCAGTTACTTAACTGTTGCATCTGGTGTATTGCTTGGTCCAGTAACCTCTTCAGCACTGACTGAAGGTGCCTCATTCTCGAACCAGGATCAGAAAGTCCCTCTGCAGAAGGACACACCCGAACAAACACTGAGCCCATGTGTCCTTCAGTGTCGTGCCCAGCCTGGTTGTAGATTTCTGCACATTGTATCGTAGATATAGTTATAGTGTTTTCTTAATGTACAGCACTAGAACATATCCCTTGCAGTTGGCTTTATTCCCCTGGTACGGGGTGGTGCTGTCTGTGATGTCAGAAGAGGATTAGCTGAAAAGGTAGCTGGTCTGAGAAGTCAGCCTGCACTTCCTCATTCCTCACTTTGTGCATGTGTGGGGATCTTAGCCACGTGCCATAGTGATTTGAATATTTAAATGTATAACGTGGGGGGAAAAAAAGCCATGAGTATGTAGTTTTGTCCCAGCCATGCATATGCATTGTGGTATTTGTTGATGCCTTCTGATTGTCTCCTCATGCAAGATTGACACGGTTTTAAACAACCAGTGATGCCCACAGCACTTAGATCACAGTATTTGAAAAGAGAAAACAAGACACTTGGCAAGACCCCAGTATGATCAGGCCTGTTCTTGCACGATGTGAGCAGCTGTTACGTGTGTCTCCTTGGCCACTCTTTCCCTGCCCGAGGAAGAGCTGTTGCCAGTGACAGTGACTGAGCCGCCAGAGTGAGCTCTGTGGTGTGGACTGAACGTGTGAGAGTGTCACTGGAGGGCAGTGAGTGTTGTGGGTCTGCAGAGACTGTGAGCTGTGGTCTTTCTGCTGCAAAAGGTCTCTTTCCAGATCCTTATGCAAGTCAGAGCTTTTGCTGGTATTTTTGTGAGCAGTTCATTGGGCCATTCTGGAATCTGCAAACCAAAATGCGCCGTAACATTTCAGGAGTTATTATAGTGATGGATTAATTGGATGGTTTGAACAGTGTACCGTGTAATAAGTGCATTATTTATAGAAACAAAAAGAAACAGAAGCACATTAATTAAACCTTATTGCCTTGCTGTCTCCTCCCCTCTCAACCCCTCCTCCTTCCTCTGTACAGATCAGCAGTAAGGATGAAGATTTTTTAGACCTCTCTGTGGATGTAGAGCAAAACACATCAATCACTCATTGCTTAAGGTGAGACTGGAGGTTGCCCTGGGCTATGGAGTATTGTTTCTGCTTGGCCTGTAGGGGTGCAGGGAACTGCAGGATGTGGAGATCAGACAGACCGTAGACATGCCATTCCCGGTCCTAGAAGACCAGTGCAGGTTTTCATCCCCACTCCCCTGTTGACAGCCCAAAGCAGCTCATTGTTGGCGTAACGGCACCAATTCAACAGCTGCCCCCCAGGTCTTTCGGGCGCAGGTCCTTTAAAGAGACTTGGGAAAACCTGCAGTTGCACCCGGTTCTGCAGGAGGCCCACCACCCAGCCCGCTGTGGACAGGATGGCTCAGTAGCTGTGCTCCCATGGAGCCGAGGCTCGCAGAGCAAGGCCAAGGAAAATGGGTCACAACCGCTGATTCAGAGCAGAGAATTTCAGGAATGTCTGTCCGTATACGGTATATGATCACGCAGCCCATAATTTAAGTTCACAGTGATAAGACAGAGGTCTTTCAGTATGAAGTCATTTCAACACAAAATGTTAGGAGGGGGTGTAAGCACACCGGCTCGGCTTGTTTCCTCGTTGCCAGTAAGTCCGTGTTGACTCCTGTGCGAGTTATCGTCCTCGGTGGCTCATCGGTCTGGATCGGAAGAGCAGCGGTTGTGCAGACGGAGATTTACGGCAGTGTTTACTTCCGCAGTCGCTCTCCCCCGCGGTCGGCCTTGTTGGCACTCCTGTAAGCACCCCTTGAAGCAGCGCGCCGGTTGATTTATTTCTGCCGGCGGGTTAAAGACGCAGAAGGGAAAAGACCGATCTGAAAAAAAAATAGGCAGTGGAAGCCAACAATCATAACGCAACGCAATAAAATGCGTCTTTTGGGAAACGGTGGCCTGTTGAACGCAGGCCAAAGACAGAAGTGCATCATCACGGCTCTCTTGCTTCCTCTCTCTCCGGCCCCCTCTCTCCCTCCTTGTTTCCCCAGGGGCTTCAGTAACACGGAGACCCTGTGCAGCGAGTACAAATACTACTGTGAGGAGTGCCGCAGCAAACAGGAGGCGCACAAGAGGCAAGTGTCCCTGAGTCACCCAGGGCTCCAGCAGTCCCCTCTGGAGCAGGGCACTCTGGTCCTGAAGGGCCATGAGCCTGAGGTCTCTTTCAGTTGTCAGCAGCTTAAATCCTGTCACAAAGCACCAAGGTGGAGCAGTTTAGCCTTAACCAATTAATCTTCTGGAAGTTTTCAAAGTGCTGTTGATTAAAGAAGCTTTGGACGTTACAGATCAGGGACATTTACTTTGCATGCTGCCAGCTCTCTCAAACTGCAGACTGGTTAATACAGAGATTATCTTCTTTCCATGAACTAAAAAAATAAACCTGTGTCCACCTACGCCTTTACTACTACCCCTGCCTCACATGTGCCCCTGATACACCCTTACCTGCCCTCGCCTACAGGCCTGTCCACACACTCTCCTGGGAGGATACTCTGTCCACTTTCAGCTCATCCACATGTTTCCACCGTTGTTGTCCGCTCTCTCTTGTCTTTTTTTTTTTTTTATCCTGTCTTCTCAAAATCCTTCACCGGTCTCCAAGGCAGCATAGGTCTGGGTAGTCCTGGTGTCGGTTTAAGGAAGTGGTAGGTCAGTTTGTGCACTGGGGGTGGGGCTCAGCGTCCAGCCTCCAGCTGCAGGGCCTTAGGAGGCCGAGTTGTATGATGGAGACCCTGTAGCTACCTGGACCACATCCGATAGTACCAGAGCTTTGGACAGAAGTAGAGGACGTGTTTAGTTCCTCTGTGTATTTAAAGAAGCAGCAGCAGCAGAAATCTAGTGGATCAAGCCCTTAGGTAGACTGGGGGGCTTTGTCCTGGTTTTGATGCTCACGTGCTCTTCGCCACGGTGCTCCAGGATGAAGGTGAAGAAGCTGCCCATGATCCTGGCTCTGCACCTGAAGAGGTTCAAGTACATGGACCAGCTGCACCGCTACACCAAGCTGTCCTACCGCGTGGTGTTCCCCCTGGAGCTGCGGCTCTTCAACACCTCCGGCGACGCCACCAACCCCGAGCGGCTCTACGACCTGGTGGCGGTGGTGGTGCACTGCGGCAGGTAACTCCCCCCGTCCACCCTGCGGTCTCGGTGGCTTCGCAGGGGTGGGTGTGTCGGCTCCAGTCTCCTCTGGGGTTCGTGCCTGTGAAGCAGATGGACGTTAGGAGAGTGCTGCAAAATAAAGCAACAGACAGGGAACGCTCTATGCCTCAAATAGTGTACCATAGCTAAAAATATGCCGTGTACTGAATCTTTAATAAATGATTCTTTTTGGAGATTTGTTCAATTTAGTTTAGCATATATTTGTGTGCACTGTTGCTCTGTAGCTGTTAGATGGAGAGAGGATTTTGTTTTTGAAAAGCAGCCTATACAGTACTTACCTTTTAAAGCACCAGCAAATTATTGTAGTTCACAACTGCATTGTCCCCTGCTGTAGGGGCTGTATAGGACAAAAATGATCCAAAGCACAACATTCCCGACCTCCGAAGGGGGAAAAAACCGCCGTCTCATCGCTCCTGTGTTCTTCTCGTTTTCCACTGCAGCGGCCCCAACCGAGGACATTATATCGCAATTGTGAAAAGTCACGATTTCTGGTTGCTGTTCGACGATGATATTGTGGAGGTGAGTTCTAGTGGGAACTGGGCAGCAGCAGTGGGATCACTGGACCAACTCCTGTACCAGAAATGTGGGGCGGGGCCCAACCGGAACGTTGGCCTGAACCGCAAGCCCAAGTTCAACCTCAACAACGGTCCCAAAAGGTCCCCAAAACCCAAAGCAAAAGGAAGAACGCCCCAACAAAGTTTAAAAACCTTTTTGTCTCGGCTGCAGCAGCTTGGCATATCCAGAGGCCCTGGTATTTGTCATGAGATGGATTCAGCTCAAAACCCTATCCCATCATAACCCCCAGGACGGCAGGTATCCCCTGTGCCACAGCAATGTTGACCCTTATAACTCTATTGCACCTTTCCCTCTTCAGAGTCAGGTTGTTAACATGGCTTTTGACCTGCTAACCCCATGGAGATTGACGTCTGTTCTGCAGGAGGGACTTGGCCAGTCCCGTACAGCAGCCAGTGGAATAGAGGAACTGGAGAACGGGTTGATGGATTAAAGCTGAACAACTGCAGTGACTGCAGTTGCCTCCTCAGTGTAGCTGCAGGGGGAAACAGCCCTCGAGTGGCAGTGCCCCTGTGTGTCCTCAAGGCTCGTGTTGTCTGCCTTTCTGTCCCGCAGAAGATCGACGCTCAGGCCATCGAGGAGTTCTACGGGCTCACCTCGGAGATCTCCAAGAACTCGGAGTCGGGGTACATCCTGTTCTACCAGTCGCGGGACTGAGGGGAGCCGGACCGGGACCTCCCCAGCTGCGCGGGGGCTTTGTGGGCGCCCTGTGCAGAGTGTGGCATTGGCACAGGGGGTGGGCGGGCCCAGGCTGGGGCTGCAGGGCACCTCCCGGTGGCTAACACTCTGACACACAGGATCCTAGGGTTACTTGCTCAGGTATTGCGGCCTCTGGCAGAGCTCCAACTTGACTGTGCATTGGCTCAGAACACACACACGCACACCTGCAGACCGACGCAGTCATGCAGAGCACGTCACTTTCCTCTCCGGAGCCTATTTCTGAATTTCCTGACACCTCCTGGTCGTGCTTATTTTTATGTGGGCATTTTGTTTTTGGAAGGAGAGAGAAACATTCAGGTTGTGCGAAGGGGAGCGAAGGTGTCATCTTTTTTTTCTACATTTGGGACTCTTGTAAAGATTGCTCATCTTGTTATAATATAGGAACATCAGTGTCTGAGGACGCTGCTGCAGTGATCTTGTGTTGTTCGAACAAATCAGTTCCTGGTGTTGGGTCGTTAATGTCGTTAGTACTGCATGCTAGGGAGTGAGCTGTGAGGAACCCATTTTGTCGATTTCAGTCGAAGTAGAATTCCAATTCTATCTTTTACATGGCTATGTTTGAGAACGCTTAGCCATCAGTCGTCTTTTTCTGTTTTGTTTTTAATTTTTCACTTAAGCGAAATGGGTTTATAGAGGAGGCATCCCATCTCAGTTTCTATTAATGAGTGGTAGCAGACGAAGATCTGTCATTATGATGGTGAGAGAGTGATGACCTGGGTCGTCTTTTGCATTTGAAGGGTATTTTCTATTGCTCCACGGGGCATTTCTGGGGCAAAGATTGAATTGATTTCACTGGACACGTGTGTTCGCTCTGATCTGAAAGAGTGTCTTCAGTTCTCTGTTCTTAGGGGCAGGGTGTGTGCGATTCCCTGTGGCCCCATACACCTTGGGCTCGGGGTATTTCTTTTTCTCCTCTTTTGATTCTGAAAAGAGTGTGGGAGGATAGGTGATGCATTTCGGTTGTCTGGCAGAGATGATAAAGATGCAGGGAGGAGGAGGGGAGTGGTATCGGTCACTTTCAAGTGCAAGAACAGAGAGATCAGCCCCTCCGGGTGCTATCTGTGCAGGACCCTCTTGTGAAATTCCGGCCCATGTGTCGGGAGCGCTGGTCTCCGAATGTAGGCAGAATGGCTGTGATGCACAGCTCTGGCTCCGCTCTGTTGTTCCCTCTTACTGTCCTGCCTGGACTGTTATCATTGCACCCCTCATCCGCGGCCACTGTTTCCACGACTCCTGGACAATCATGGGAAAATGAGCAAAATGAATGGGAAATCTAACCAGGCCAGTGAACACTGTTGACCTTTGTGCACTGAACCCACTGCCAAATGTGTTGCAAGTTTAAAAAAAAAAAAACACAAAACAGGCCAAATGTGCTAAAATGCCCTGGACAAAGCCATGACTTGAGCAGCTGTGAAAATCCTGCCAGGGACAGTCAAAAATGTCTGTGGCGCGGACTCCGGTGCAGGTCTTTCTCCCAGACAGCTGTTTCATTGGTTTAGCTTACAGGTGCACAACTCAAGTCCTCCAGGGCCAGAATCCAACAGGTTCTGTAGATCTCTTTTAATTAGCAACAGTACAGCAAAATGTCCGTTTGTCCGTTAGTGCTGGAATGACCAGCTTGGTTAGGTGACGCAGAGTTAGAATAAGAACCCTGTGCCCCTCCAGGTCTGGAGTCGTACACGACTGATCTAGGCAGTGAAGTGTTGGCTAATGGGGCTGGAGGTATGGCGGTAGAAGAGTCCTGCAGTGGAGTGGATAGTAAGGTCTGGTGTTGAACTCGCATGGCTGTACAGGGTTACGAAATGCCTCTGTAACGTTTTGCCAAAAGAGGACTCAAGGAAACTGCTCAGGGACGAGCAGTGAAGTGCGGCCTTTATTTGGCATTTCTGTTCTTCTGCAGTCAGCCTTTCCAGGCTGTACTGGAGATACCCGTCTGTTGTGGTTTTCTGTCGGTTGATTTTTGGAGGAAGGTTTCGTGCTCCACACCTCTCTTCTACAGCACGCTGAGGGTCCCACCCCTGACCTGCCCGTTACCTTCCAGGGTCAAGGGCCATCAGCAGAATGGGAGCTGATCAGAATGTATGTGTAGCAGGTTTGGTCTTGTACTGGTTCACCTCTTTGTCCAGCCACCGAGAGGACAAGTTCTTTTTTTTATTTTGTTACTCCTGCCCGGGTAGGCTTCCCCCTATAGGTGTGGAAGTGTTTACTGCAGATCTCTTAACACTAACTTGTATTCTCTGATCTGAAGTTCACAGTTGCTTGGGCAACTACTGACTGCTAGGGCATTATCCTTACCAGATTCTTGTGAACAGACACTAACTCTAGGTCTGGATAATCAAATCATGCTGGGAAACCCGAGTCTCCAGTGCTTTGTGTGCATTTTTTTAATCCTTTTTCAGGTTTTTGTAAGCTGACAGCAGGCTCTGTATACTTCATGTTTATGATCTTGCACGGGGTGAAATTGCACAGACAGATGTCCAGAGGTAAAATAATATTAAGTCTGTTGCTCTAATTCAGATGTTGCATTTCTGTAAGAGCCAGTTTCTCATTAAACTTGCCTTACAGTGGGATTCTTGTCCATTTCCCCGTGAACCACAAAATGGATGTACTTTGTCACAACCAGCTTCTTTTAATCATTTAATTAAATCAGCCAGTGCGATTAATTAAAGTAATTGCAGAGGTCTGTTCTGGGCTCTGCTGCTTTGAGTTGACGATTGTGTGATTTCAAGTGGCCTGGCTTCAGGATATCCTGTGTCTGTTATTGTTATATTTTTTTAAAATTGCCGTAAGTGAGTCTTAATAATTAATAATGCCCTGAGTGGAGGTGGAGTGCTACATTTCCTTTTTCATTTTGGTTGCCAAACTCCAGTGCGCCAGCAGTTAATCTATAAACAACCATCATCTGTGATGAATCTTAGTGGAGAGTGTTGCGCTGTTTTGTGGGTGAGAGGGTGTCACACTTGGGTTTGAGGTTGTTGATGCTTATTTAAAGTGAATTACTGTGCCACTGAGAGAATTTGTTAGGTGTTGGATTTTCTTTACCTTTGCTGTGACCTTTCCCTGAACTTTGACCTCTGCATATCCCCCCCCTGATTGGTCACTCAGTCTGAGCTGGGTAGCTTGATTGGCTGTTGATGAGGGAACAAGATTTTCAGCTTGTTGTGTATTCTGTATATGTTTGTTTTGGGTGGGGGGCACATGTCCCTAATTTTGTAAATCTGGGTTACGTATTTCTACAAGAGATAATGTATGTTATTTGTTAACATACCAGATGTATAAATCTTAAAAATATTAAATATTAATAAAGACAATAAAATGTAATCTAAATTATACAATGTTGCACTTTTGATACAGATTTATAGGTGTTGGCGGGCGTATTTAAGGGTTTGCTTGAGACAGCCTGTTGTGAAATGATCATTTTCTGTTATAAAGAAAAATAAAAATACAGTACAGGCAACCACTGTGTGTTATTGTGAATGAGAATTTTAGTACCTCCAGGAATACTATAAACAATGTACTTGTATCCATTCATGCTTTTAACATTCATAATTTGGTTGTTTTTGGAATTGGTCAGATATTTAAAAGAAACTGAACTGTCCCGTGACCACCGACCAAAAATGAAGCAAATTGCTTTTCACTTGAGACAAGATACCCTTCATCTTTGGGATTATATTGTAATTTCACAGTGAGAGCCCTGTTAAACAACTTTCCTCTGCCCTACTTCAGAGCTCTAGCTTCTGAGTCAGATTCATTCCAGTCATTCGTACAATGAGAGAGATTACATCAACTGAAATCACATCACAGGAAATCAAGTTCACTTGATACATTGAAAAAGAATACGAAAACTCAAGTCTGGAAGAGCTATTAATGCTGTCCTGTCAATTGCAAAGTATTTTTTCAAAAGGCATTGATTGTGATGTGCAGACTGATCTCTCAGTTTACTATAAACATTGGAGGGTACTGAACACTGGCTTTTATTCTCCATCAGATTGTTTTAAGAATTAATGGAAACTGGGTTTGTTTTGTGACCTGCATGGAGAACAGCAGTCCACTTTTCCCCACTCGTCAAGGAAGGTATGAGCCTGGCTAATGTCAGTACCAGCTGTGGCTGGGCCGAGCTGTCTGATGACATCAATAGGCTCCAGAAACTGCTTGACAGAAAAGGAGATCTTCCCAGTGGTGACAGTGCTGAGGTCAGGCAGTTCTGATGGGCTGCTTGTCAGCACAACAAAGGAGCAGCACATGGATTCCTGAACTCTGAAAGATGCCATCCCTTTTGCAGAGATTCAATCCCTTCAGTAGCTTTTCTGCTATCAGAAACCCCAAAAGCTTAATTCACCTTGTGCATATGGTTCTTCCTTCATTTAAAAAAAATGCTCAGAGCACCACTGGGACTCTAAATTAACGCATTTGAGTTTGTATGACAAATTATTATCCTGACCCACACCTTAAAATGAATCCACTTATCAATGCCAACGTCGATCTTAATCAACTCGTCTATAATCCTTCGTCCTGCCCTTGCCTAGCTCCCAGTCGACAGGTCACCAGGGACCCCTGCGCTGTGAGGCTGCAGTGTGAACCTGCTTGTGGGCCACTGCACGTTTGTATTGATGGGAGTGTGCTGCAAGGTGGAAAACGTCGTCCTGGACATTGTAACAAAACAGATGTCTATGAACATGAACCCAACTCAAGAGCCCTCCAGCGCGTCGGTACAGTAGGTGGGGGTTCCTGAGCACACTGTTTAGATGAGGCTATTTTTGGGCGAGCAGGTTAAAGCTCTCACTTGACGTGACCTCCTTTCCCTGTGCTCAGCGAAGCTCTCCCAGCTTTTACACGGTTTACACAGCTGTCTATTCTTGGAACGCTGTCCTCCTCGGATCCGGGTGGACGCTGGTGGATCAGCCTGGTTTCCACACCATGTTTAGCCGAGGGAAGCGAGGATGGCATGTAGAGAGTGGAAATGAATGGCTGCCTTTCTGGGTCTGTGTTTGGAAACTGAACACAGGAAATCTCCATGGAAAAAATAACAAAGGGGCTGAGGCTCAGTTCTCCTCCTTGTGAAAAATACAGTCTCTTGTACACAAGCAAATCAGTGCAACAAAGTCAAGGCAGCTCTTTCCCCCCTTATTCCTTAGTTCTACCTGAAATCTTTAATGGACATGTACTGGATATGCCAAGAATCTACTTTGGGACACTGTACTGTAAAAAGGCGCCGTCCTTCGAATGAGACGTAAAACCGAGGTCCTGACTCTCTGTGGTCATTAAAAATCCCAGGGTGTTTCTCGAAAAGAGTAGGGGTGTAACCCCTGGCCAAATTTCCCATTGGCCCTTTCCAATCATGGCCTCCTAATTATCCTCCTCTATGAATTGGCTTCATCCCTCTGCTCTCCACCCCACTGAGAGCTGGTGTGTGGTGAGTGTTCTGGCGCACTATGGCTGCCGTCGCATCATCTAGGTGGGGCTGCACACTGGTGCAGGTAGAGGGGATCCCCATTACCTGTAAAGCGCTTTGAGTGGAGTGTCCAGAAAAGCGCTATGTAAGTGTAAGCGATTACAATTATTATTACTTGATCCAAGTCTTAGGTCCAAAGGGACACATAGATCCCAGATTCATTTTTCAGTGGGGGACAGGGATGTCTGCACATGAGCACTATTGGTCAACAGATCCCTCTGTTGTTCAGAAACACACCATGCGCCAGAATGTACAGCAGGGGATATCCCTTTACCACAGCATCACAGCAACGTATGAGTGTCATTCCACCCACATCTGTACGCCCACCCCTTACTGGTGAGCAGAACACCTGCCCACGCCACCCACCTCCCAGCAGACTGTCCTCCGCAATAACCTTCAGCTTCCAGGGACTGGCCCCTGTTCTCACACAAGGTTTTTCAACGCATGTTTTCTGTCCATTAAGCTTTGCATCACTAATTAAAAGATTCCATCAGCATCTCCCAGTGCAGTCTGAGTAACATCAATCTGGAGGGCAAACACAGTGACCTATTGTCAGGCTGGAGCTCAGTCTGAACTATTGCTGGCCTTGTACATGGTTAATGCTGACATGTGCCAAAGCTTGGCATTACTCAGTGGGTCAGAACTGCTGGCCTTTTATTGATGTTAGTTCTTACATGATGCACCACATCTCCTCTTTGTTTATCCTTCGAGGTAGGAGCCTTTTTTTCTGCTGATAATTGTTCTTGCTTTGAGAGTCCATCTACCAACAGCTGTATTTTAAGTGGAAAGGATGATCGAAAGATAGATAAAGTTCTGAGTATCTGAGGTTTATTGAGGCTTCTCAGAAAACCATGAAGGTTCCATGGACAACTTTCTTGGCATAGTTAGTAATAGTCCAGGCCGTGTTTTAGAGCTCAGAGCTGAAGCTGTTTTTGACTAAACTGAAGGGAAGCTCTAGAATAGCTCCCAGTTAATATTTACTCTCCACAAAAACCTCTAGTGATTTATGATCAGCATTGTAACATGACTTTTTGTAAACCACTTGTGTACCACATGACTTCCAGTACCATTGAGCACTTGAGCAAAGTTTAAAAGACAGACCAAATATTTACAGAGTCTTTCCCCCAAATCTCAAGGTAGCCTACAAGCAGTGGGGAAGCTGACCAGTCATGGCCAGCACTTCCTGATAAACTGAATTCTATGTAATGTTTCATAAACAGAACAGAGCAGCAGTGGCTCTTTCCCTTTTTAGACTGAACAAACGAGAGCAGAAATGACCATTTCAGGCACACCCCAGTAAGGCAATCCTTTGCCTGTCTGCTCATCTAGGTGAGTGAAATGCCTTTTTTCCACAGTTTCTTCATTTTTGAATAGCAAATTATTAAATAGATAAATTCTCAAACTGTCTCTTCAGTAGAGAGTCGGTTAATTCTGTGCCTACGGTAACTTCTGTTGGCATCAGTGACAGGTGGATTGTTAGAAACATTGAACAGAAGAGTTTCCAGTTAAGGAGTCTGCTGGTAACCTCACTACCTGTCTGATAATGGGGATGTGGTGTAAGCTGGAAAGCACATAGCAAAAGCACAATGAGTAAGTGCTGAGCCCTGAAACTGTGCAGGGAAGCATGCTTCATACTACGCAGAGCAGTGATTAAATGATTCAACAATTCTAACGTACAGTAATGTAAGCATGGGGAGAAGCTGTAAATGGGAAAACGTGTTTATCTACAATGGTAAAGGTTAGGAATGGTAGGCCAGCGACTTGGCTCTGTGACATCATTTCGCACTGTTTGCCAGAAACTGATCACAATTTCCAGGAAGGCATTTCCGTAAAGATCAAGGAGGGGCCTTCACATTTTCAAAGGAAAAGAAAAAACACAGCTGCAGACGAGCCAAAAATACCAGCAAAGCTCTCTTTCCTCCTCGCCTGATGCAAAGAGAGCAGTCTTCACATTCCAGAGAGAATGACACAGGCACTTCATTATCGCCGTTTATGCTCAGTGCTGTCAGAGCTGTGCCTTGTAAGCTGCAGAGGAGAACTCCTGATGCCCAGTTCTCTTCTGTGTGCCAGTCTGCCATGTTGTCACTCAGCGCCCTGGTTTCAGAATGCTTTCACAGGCAGCAGCCCCTGTCTTTATACTGTAAACGGCCATTGATCTAGGCAGACAGCAGTCTGTTGCGCAACAAGCCCGTCACTGCGATGACATACTGTACAAAACAAATCTAGCGAGGTGACCTTTGGGATGTGAGTCGGAATGCTGTGGATTCCCGGAAGGAAACAGGGCCTCGAAGGATGCTGTTCTGGGAATCTGGAGTTGTTGACTTTCAGCATAACAAACCCAGCAATTTAGGCTGGGTTGAGGTAAAGGCTCGAACTCTTCACTGGTACCTCTGGCGTGTGCTCTGCGGTATTTGCATAGTCGAAAAAATTAATTGTGCAATGCATGACCTTGAAATTGTTAAAATGGTTATAACAACATTCCCTTATTTAACTGTAATATTTGCCAATTTATTTACTAAATTACTAGGATGAAGCAAATATATTTGTCCTGGAATGTGTAGCCAATAGCTTTAGTTAAGTTCATCTGCAGTATAGAGAGATATGTATTTATATTGGAGGAGCTGAAGCAAAGTGTTTCAAGGACATCATCAGGGCACTTCTCCCTCCTGCCTTGAGAAGGGTGGAATAGTTCATGTGTGCATTATTTCTGTGCTCTGCAGTTACAGAAGCTACGTGGATTGGCCAGTCTGAAAGCCGGATACGGAAAGCAGTGAGAAGAAGAGCAAAAGAGTGTGTTGAATACCACACAGCAAAAGATCAAAGCTTTTCATTGGAATCATTCAAAGGAAGGTGTGGAATTTTTTTCCCCACTCGGATATAACTCAGTTTAAGAGCCTCTTGGGTTGCTGCTGTGCATGGTTGATGGAGGTCAGGAGGGCAGACAGTGGGATTATGAAGGCAGCTGAGCCGTATTAGATGCTAATACCCCTTCACTGTGCTTGTAAAATAAAGACTTAGCCACAGGCAAAGCACTTGTGGTGCAGGCAGGCTCGTCCCGGCGCAGGTACTGTAGAGGTGAGATGAGTGTTTCTTACCTCTGTGTACAAGATTGCAGTCTCCTATGGAGACCGGAAACACACAGCAAAGAGGCACCTTCCTGGGGAATGAAGAACGTGAGAGCAATCTGTCAAACCTGAAACAGGAGGCCATTCAGTGCCTCAGAGCAGCAGGCTGATACTGGTGCAGGAGATATTAGACCATGTTAATGTCCTTCACAGGCCTCCCAAGTTCATAAGGGACACTGCTTATTCATGAATCTCTAGCTTTAAATGGACTGGTAGCACAGGACTCCCCCTGATCGGTACTGTGGTCCATCACAGGTTAACCCAACACCAGAGCAGGTTGGTGCATAAGCCCTCTGCAGGGTGTGTGTGGTTGTGTATTTATCTCTTGATTTCCTGCTGCATAACCTTAAATAAAGTATACCACAAGGGCAAAACGCACGCACACACACACACACACACACACACACACACTCGATTCACAAAATGACAGTGAAAGTGCAAATAATGGACAGGTCTCCCAGTGAATAACATGCTCAGGGCTCACAGGCTCCTGGGGTTCACGGAAAACAGGGTCCCCAGTGAGCATCATGCTCAGGGCTCGGGGGCTCCTGGAGTTCATGGGAAATGAGGTCCCAAGAGAGCAACATGCTCAGGGCTCAGGGCTCCTGGGGTTCACAGGGAACGGGTCCCACCTGGGGTGTTTGCTGCTGTTCACAGCTGAGAGCAGTCTGTGTTGTTGGCCCGCAGGTGGGCGTTCTGCTGTGGGAGGCTGACGTGTATGACCAGATTACAAGCTGAGCTACACCAGCACCAAAGACTGTAAGAGACAAGACAGCGTGGGAGTTGTGTGTGTGTGTATGTGCATAGGCAGTAAGTGACTTTGTCGGCACGTTTGCGTCTGTGCCTGAAAGCATTGTTTTTCTTTTGTCTTTCAGAGATGTTTCGAGATGGAGGTTCAAGGGTGTCTATTGGCTACACTGGCTGCTGCTTGCTAAGTAGCCATAGAGAAGTGTGATAGAGATGGATCCACGTGAGGAGGAGGATTTCAGTGCATCATTTGTAATTGCAATCAATGAACTCCAGGGCTGATTGGCACGGTAACAAAGGAGAAGCCTTGAGCATTTTGCACTGAAAGAGGCTCTGTGAACAATAGGCAGCTTTCACCTCTCCCCCCACAAGCACAGAAATAATTTTAAAAATGTAGAACTTGCGTCAAGGATCCCTGATGACCCTACAGGAGACATATTGTATTGTCTGAATCTTGCACAGCTGTAGGCATAGTCCTTCTCAGTATAGGAGAGATTCAATGACATGAATCATTCGTATTAGAAAACAGATTATTATCTGAGTAAGTCAACTTCTTAAATGTGTATTATTGAAACCTATGCAGATATACCACATTGTCTGTTGAATGGATGCAATCTATTGAAAGTTGCTGTGAAAAATGGGAGCGTTTTATGAGGCAACTCATTAGCTGATGGTTTCTGATGTTTAAAGCCTGGATATCTATGCTAGTGAATCTCGAAGCGTCTCCGAGTTTCTTGCTTGACCTATGATGGTTGTTGCTCAGAGCTCAGAGCTCAGAGGCTGGACACCATTGAGAGCACAATTTGACTTAGATACACTACCTTCTTTCACAGTTGCATGCTAAGCCTTCGTTAAATGTTTTGATAAGACATTTCACTTTCCACAATGTCTCCTTGTTTGCAGGCCTGGTACTGTGCTGGTCAGTGTGCCTCTGAGTGGGAATGTCCTTGCAATCACACAGACTGACAGAGTCTTACACCACACGGCCTCCCCAGGCCATTCGCTGAGATGCGATCAATTCCTGTAACGCTGGAAATGTGGGGACTCTTTTGTTTAGAGATGCAATAAACCGCTGTTGAAAAGATCACCCTCCTTTCTGTTCTTTAAATAAAACCTCCACGTTTTTCTTACAATTGGAAAAAGAAGGAATTCAAGATGTCGTCCTACCTGCATCACAGTGTAGCAGAACAAAGCCCTTACTTTTCAGTGGCTAATTGAACAGGTCTAGAGCTGCAGGGAGAGAGCACATCTGAGACAAAAGGAAAAACGAGTGCTGATCACCCATTATTATTTGCATAGCAGATGCCCTTATTTAGGTGGGTCAGAATGTAGTGTATTTTTTTTCTATGAAATATGGAAGTGTATAAGGGTGTCTGATCAGTAAAGGAATATCACAACATTTCTACCATTTTAGTAATGGGGTGTCAAACCCCCAGTCAGCAGTATTAAAGCAAGGATGTTCCAGCTCACTGATGCACTGACCAGCGTGATTACTGGCACCTAACCAGGACTGCAAGGCTGAGGGAGGGAAATGCAATGCTGATCCTGAACGTGCACCAGTGTTTCCAGTCCCCCTATAACAAAGTAAGCATTTGAAGGATCTAACATGCTGTAGGGAGAGTCTTCCTTTGAGTCTCACAAGACTCAAAAACTTTTGTGGTTTGCCTCATCAATGAGAGCACATGAGGCCTGCTGGCCAGCGTGCATATCTTCTGTACGCTAATTCATAAGCTGTTGCTGCCACCTAGTGTATACGTTTGAAGAAGTCTAAGCTTTGTTCAGCTCAGTAGGTTTTCTTCATGAAGATTTCTGCATCTTAAATGGACGATGTGGTGGCATTCCTAGTTAGTGCTGCTATCTTCAGGTTTGGGGTTTCAGTGGAGCACTGTGTGTAATGAGTTTGCATGTTCAGGGCATGTGCATTTCTGCCGAGCTGTCCAGTTTCCTCCCACAGTCCAAAGACACACTGACCAGGTTAGCTGATGACCCTGAGTTGTGTTTCCGTGTCCTGCAATGAACTGGTTTCCCATCCAGTCTGCCCCATGCTGCTGGGCTCAGCTCCAGCTTGTTACGACTCTAAACTAGAATAAGAAGCTTTCTGATAATGGATGGGTGGACAGATGAACTGAATACACAACATCTCTGTTTGAGTGCGAAACAAACACCATACAACTAGCACCCCAGTAGCTGAACCCAGGGCCCCAGCATTGTGAGGTACAGTGTATTTTGTTATTCTCCAAGTTTAAATAACTTTTTGACAAAAAGCCTTAGCTAAGTGTAAAAGTGGTGAACATCAGTGCACTGCATTAGAAGGTTAATATGTGGCCTGTGTGTGTGGTACGTATTTGAGCTGAAGACAGACATTGATATTTCTTCAGAAAGAGAGCACAGGGGAATTCTTTGCCGAGTCAGACTTGCAGACCGTGTGTATTGTGTCAATACAGTTCCGTACCGAAGCCCTGTGCACCTCTGTTGCTCTGCCTGTCTTATTGTTTGTGAAAAATCTTATTTGTCACTTTGATAAATGACCCTAAGCAGTGCCAGAGCACTACAACCAAGTCCCAGGCCTTTCTGTCTCCCTCCGACAGGAGGAATGAATGAATCCCCCAGGCAGTTTCCTTGTGTCTCCCTTTCTGTGCAAAGCCTGACCACAGCCTGGCCATAGAAACTGGGCGACACAGGCAGACCTGGCTGCCCAGAGAGGACAGGCTGTGCTCCCACTGCCAGCAGGGAGAAATAGAGACAGAGATGCACTTCCTACTGCACTGTGACAGATACTCTGGGATTAGAGAAACATTCTTCCCTAAATTCAGAAATCTAGTCCCAGAGTTCCCACACCTGCAAGAACCAATACAGGTCCCAGTCCTACTGGGAGAGGGAGGAGGGAACTCAGTTGAACTGGCAGCCCAGTATGTGATCTCCTGTCACAGCCTGAGGAGCAGTCTGTCTCCCAGTAATGCTCCATATATTTACGGTATATGTAAATATTTTATGATATGTCTTTGTTGTAAATGTCTGTATCTTTTTTTCTTTGTTTTATGTTAATTTTATTTTTTATTTGCCTTGGCAACACTGATTGTACTCATCGGACATGCCAATAAAGCATCTTGAAGTGAATTGACTATCTGCTGCCCTCCCTGGGAAGGACCTTCACCTGGGAGAACTGTGCACAGGAGCCCTGCTATCTGCAGCACTGAGACAGGACCTGTTAATCATTACAGAGGCAGAGCAGAGAGACAGAGGGCCAGTGGGGGATAAGGAAGGCATGCTATGTGTATCGCCTAGGGAGGAAACTGATGAGGTGATCTGCAGGGTGAGGGACGACTGAGGGACACCCGTTTGTCTCTCACGGTCTGCAGGGAAGCCGCACAAGAGTGTGAGGCTCGCTTGCAGGGACTAGTGTGCTATGCCAGGTTACGCTCTGAGTGATGGTAAAGAAAATAACGACATCCTGATCACAGGATTTGACCACATTTCAGCAAGGGGAAGGCAAAGTAATCTTAGAAAATTAGAGCAGTGCTTTAGTTGCCATTATCTAGGATATAAGGGAATGCCTGCTAAATGGTGTGCCTAAGAGCTCTCAAAACATTGATTTTGCCAAATCAGGATGCTACCATGAACTGCTGTATACCCCTTGTTGACTGGCCCGACTTTCAAGGTTCGTCTTTAACAAGTTTCACGTGAAACAGATGTTCACTCTAAAGGATTGATAAAAGGATTGAAACATCTGTTTAAGCAGGTCAGTGTCTCCTGCTCAACATATTATTGTATCATGGTTTTATTGCACACCTGTTGTTCACCACAATGCTGCTGCTGAGCACTTTACAGTTGGGATGGATCAGCTGCTGTCATGGACGTGCCACCGCGCCCACATGAAGCCCTGAGGACAGTTGGCACGAGACGTGTTCACGAGACGGAGGCTCTTCAGCTGTTCTCCAGACTGGGGATGTCTATTATTCTGGCACTGCAGAGGTTAGAGGAATGGTAAGGAAGCATGAGCAAAAGTTAGAATACTTACACATGAATACTTTAGTGAGCTTGGCTCCAGGGGTAGCTCTCCGTGTATATGTCTCTTTTGCAGATTAGAATGGCCAGTTATGATTTGTTATGAGCCCAGCAGTTGTGGAATTGTCCGTTGTGTTCTCACAGCTCCGATCACAGTGACGACCTCTGTACCCATCCAACAGGGGTGGGAATGAAGAATGTCAACAAAGCTCTGCCCAGTAATAATAATAATAATAATAATAATAATAATAATAATAATAATAATAATAATAATAATAATAATAATAATAATAATAATAATAATAATAATAATAAAATAATAATACCACAAATATGTAGCCCCACCTGGATTCATAGAGGGGATTATTAGGAGTCCACGATTGGTAAAGGCCAGGGAGGAATTTGGCCAGGATGCCGGGGTAACACCCCTACTCTTTTCGAGGAATTTTTAATGGCCACAGAGAATCGGGAACTCACTTTTACATCTCATCCAAAAGACAGTGCCATTTTTTACACTACAGTGTCCCCATCACTATACTGGGGCATTAGGACCCACACAGACTGCAATGTGCGTGACCCTACTGATCCCACTAACACCTCTTCCAGCAGCAACCCCAGCTTTCCCAAAGGTCTCCCATCCAGGTACTGACCAGGCTCACACCTGCTGAACACCAGTGGGCTGCCAGGTGGGAGTGGCAGGGTGATATAGCTGATGGTTTTCCTTTGACCTGCCACGCCACTGAACTGTCATCTTCTGACATTACGAGCTCTGCAGTGACATTTGGGGTGCCCCTTGCCAGCTGGAAGAGGGGATATCCCTCACTGACTGCGCCACAAGCCTACAGCTGTCCAGGAGACAGTACCGTGGTGCACAGGGAATCCTGGCCGGAGTGGGCAAGTAACCTTTTCTGAAATCTGAGCTGATCAGGGAGCTCTGCAGAATTCACCTCCACGATTACCTACGAGGACAGCTGGTGCAGGGTGTGTGAAAACTGGGGCCTTTGAACACAGGTGTTGCTCCTTAAAACAAACAAAACAAAGGCCGGCCAGCCTCATTAGCAAGCTGTGATTGCTCTTCCATCACGGTTACTCCCTAACCTCAGAGTCAACTCAGATTTTGTTGGGATAAGGAGCTCCTTTATCAGCGGACGTCATCTTGCTTGTGGAAATACAACAGGACATGCTTACAGAATGTACAAGAGGGCTCAGAGAAGAAATGATGTTCAGAATTCCACATTATCATAATTATACACAGAAGCACATAAGCTTTTTTCAATTTTAAAGAGCTTTATTGGCGTGAACGGTGCATTATAGTGTCTCCAATGCAATAGCAATGAGCAAAACATTAAGAAACATTCTAGACAATGACATAATGTTATTAGTTAAGAAGTTCACTTGTTGGTCCTGAGGCTGTGGCAAGAGATCACTTATAGGGCGGCAGCTTTGGTGAGTTTCCTCCTCCCCCACTTAGTATGATTGGTAGCTGCTCTGATTCTGGCAGGTGTAGGAATTCTGGGGTTTAATTTGCTATTTAAGGGAAGAACCCATGAGTATCTCTCACAGTGCAGAAAAAGTCCATCTCTGCCTCTCTGTCTCTCAGCTGGCATTAGGAGCAAAGCCTTATTATTTTAGGGTTCTGTACATTCCAGTTTGTGTGTGTTTCCCAGTGGGTGAGGGGGTTGTTGGTTAGTTTGTGCTGTGATTGGGTTGACTGTGAATTGTGCTGTTTTAGACTGGCTGGTGTCAATGTGTCTCAGGGCAGTACGCTTCAGGACCAGCTGGCCTAGAAGAAACCTCTATGGGCTCAGCTGGCCTTGATGTAGGAGTTGTAGTGTCTGTTTTTTAAGCTGTAGTCAATATTTTATTATTCTCTTCTGTATGTTGATTAGCAGCGTGTATTGTCCCAATTCAGCCTGTGTGGGTTGGAGTTTTTCTCTGCACAGGAAGGTTTTTTTCGTACAGAACTGTGGGTGGAAGACTTCCATGTGGTGTCTATCCCATTTTGTGGTTTATCTGTGATTGGATCTTACGTTACTGTCATACAGTGAAATGGATTGAATTACACTTTCATATCTTCGGAGCCAGGTGTTTGTGGGAGGGGTTGATATTGTAAAGCCTCAATACAACATGTGGCGTAGAAAGACCTGCATGCCTTCTCTTTCACTTTGTCTCATTGTGAGTGTCTGTGACAGGGTGGTACTATACCTGTAGTATTACTGAGAGAGGGAGACCTTAGTAGCAGCTAGGAGTGTGTGCTGTATTTCTTAAAGCACTCTGCCTCCGGCTCTGGCCTTATCAGCCTGGGAGGACAACTGTAAACTGCCTGGTTTACAGTCAAGACAAGGCTGTCAGTGGGAGGCAGAATGTTGAAACATACTAAACTCTTGACAGAGGATCAAAGGATAGATTTATAGCCTAGATAAGATTCTGCTGATAACGTGACTTTTTTAACCTTGAATTCATTCATTCCTTATCTATGGGATACAGAAAGCAAAGAATAAACCACTGGGTCAAGCCTACGGGAACAACATTGAACTGCAATGTCGGCATTTATCTTCACAATAAATGCTTGAGGGTTTAGTTAAAGACAAAACGTAAGCAGGTTGTGGTCCAACCGAGACTAATTCAAATTCAAAGTGCTTTATTGCCACGTCTCATGAATTACAGTGTTGCCAAAGCAAAGACAATTAACCCAACATTCATAGACATTTACGGTAAAAACAAGTTATTGGACATTTACATACTGTCATATCTACAGTACAGTATGTGTGACATATATGTATGTAATCTCACACAACATGATTGTGAGACAGGCTGACTCCTTCCTTTCCTATGGCTGTGACTGGAGATCACACGCTGGGCTGCAGCTCTGCTGAGTTTCCTCCCTCCTCCTCAGTGAGATTGGTAGCTGTTCTGATCCAGGTGGGCGGTGGGATTCTGGGATTAGATGTGCTATTTTGGGGAAGAATGTTGGTCTGAGTATTTCTCGCAGCACAGAGGAAAGTGCATCTATGTTTACGAAGAGGTACTGATTTGGCAGCACTGTGTTTCACGGATCACTCCAATAAATCTCCCTGGAATTTGAATGTATTAATTTATTAAGGGTGGAGAGAATCCATGTAGCATTTGAGAGAAGCTAAAGATGGCAGTGAGAAGAGGGATCTTATCAGGGATCGTAATTGAGGACACGAGTCTGAAGCACAACAATACAGTAGAAACATTCAAATCAAAAGATTTAATTTGCATATCTTTTAGGGATAGAACGTTGTCACCCTTTTGTTTCTAATGAACCCTGAATGGCGTCTTTATGAGAATAAAGAAATGCCGGTTTTCATTGCAGAAAACATCCATCGAGAGCATCCCCTTATGAATAAATAAAGTCCTGAAACCACGAAGGATCACTGTACTTTATAGATTTGACATTAAAATGTAACATAATTTAGCGAATAATGCATATTGCCCTTAAAGAATTAATGGTTAAGCTTGTTTTTGAAACAGTGACAATGTTCACGCCTGCCTTTCAATTTTTCAAAGTGTTTCTAGGAACATGAGACATGGAATATCTTCCCTTGAATCTTATGAAAATAAAGTACAAAGGAAATATTCAATAGAAATTTAATTGGATTACAAGCAATATAGTTTTTGTGCCTTCGAAATTTAATTCAGCCGTCCACTTCTAT